GCTTAACCAACTGAGCCACCCAGGCGCCCGTGCCTGGTATAGTCTTAACCATTTATATTAGTTATTACCTTTAGCCAAAGCACACCAGTGTTGTTGCTTACAGACACAAGGAAAAGTAGAAGGTAGATGACCAAGAAATGTCTCCATTGCTGTCTCTCCATCAGTGCACGATATATATCCCTTCTATAATTGTTTAAAGTGGTAAACATATATATCAACATTGTCCTTCCACCAAGAAATTGAATGGTTATTTATATAGCAATAAAAACTGTTTATTGACCTGTGTTTTTATCTTTAAGAACTTACCTAATATTAAAAATTTTTTTAAGTATTTGTCTAAGATCCCAAGGTAACTAAGGTCTGGAAGTAACCGTTTATCCATCGTGGCAAGCCTGTATAATGTGTAGCATTAGAATAATTAATCTTTTATTATTTTATTTACTTTGAATACATAATTTTACAATTTTATAGTCTCCAATGCAGTGATACTCTTTGATCAATAAAACCAGTAGAGGGGATTTAGGAAGTGCTAAATGATTAAGCTTTTCCTGGGACTCATATAAACTAGAATATAGTGCTAGGAGTTTTGCATGATGCTAAAATCTGAGGGAAGACAGCAGTTTTAAACTAAAATTGCTAAAGCAATTTGTTAAAGAGTCATCTTGATTAGAAATATATGAATTTTTTCTTATGTAATTACGCTAGTAATGGAGGCCATTAATTCAACCCATGGCTGAAATACGTTCCCCTTGAGTTACAATGTTAGCAATAAAAACATTGTTAAAACTTAAAAAGTAGAAATTTAAGATAAAAACTTTTTTTTCTTAATTTGCAATTTTGTAAGTGTTAATACTTTAATACTGTTTCTAGAAGCCAGTTGGAAACAGAAGGTCATTTTACTACATACTGGTATGTTTGTAATCTGATTTACTCCCTCTGGAGGTAGAGGTTTATCTCTCTATTTGCCGGGCTCCTGGGTGGCTCAGTCAAGCGTCTGCCTTCGCCTCAGGTCATGATCCCAGGGTCCTGGGATCGAGTCCCACATCGGGTTCCCTCCTCGGCGGGAAGCCTGCTCTCCCTCTCCCACTCCCGCTGCTTGTGTTCCTGCTCTCGCTATCTCTGTCTCTGTCAAATAAATAAATAAATAAATAATCTTTATCTATCTATTTGCCAAAAAAATCATTAATAAAACAGAAAAGTTACAGTTTAGAAGCTAGCAAATCTAAGGTAGGAAAGAGACACTGGTATTTATTAAGGATGTAATAGGTAAGGTAAAAAATTTGAAAATATATATTTTTTATGGGGGGCAGGGGCAGAAGGAGAGGGAGAGAGCGAATCCCAGGCAGGCTCTGTGCCTAGCGCGAAGCCCGACGCGGGGCTGTATCCCACAACCCCCCCGACCCCCGCCCCGAGATCATTACCCGAGCTGAAATCAAGAGTCACTTGCTTTACTGGGTCACTCAGGCACCCTGCAGATATTTCTTGTTGCAATGTCTGAAAGAATACACAGATCTTGGCTCAACTTACTTAGTAGTTCCTGTTTATTCTGCTCCCTGTGCAAAACCATGCTTGCTGCATGGTGATGTAAGGGAACCCTGATAGGAACATATGTCAGATATTATGAGAACTCTGTGTGTAACAGGTCCTTCTTATCAGTTGTGATGTTGTTTGTCATTTTCTTGTTCTCCTAAAGGAAATCAGCCGTTTGGCATGACCTCATTAACGATTGTTTCTGACCATTTTAGCGATTTGCTGCTGTAATCATGAGAATAAGAGAGCCCCGAACCACTGCACTGATATTCAGTTCTGGGAAAATGGTGTGCACAGGAGCCAAGAGGTAGGTTTAAGGAGTTTATTCTCCTGGTCATATATTATTATGATTATTCAGTTGCATTTTATGTATGTTTGATGAAATGTAACATCCAAGCTATTACTAAGGATCCCTTTATGTAAAAAATTCTACATATAGCACAAATTCATCCCCAGGTGAAAAAAGAAATTGGTCAGGAATCACAGAATTTCAGAGCTGGTGGTGTGAGAGTGTACAGATCTGCTTGGTCCTGGCAGTGGGACAGTACCATGTGTTGGTCACAGATGCCTGCTGCCCCTTGTTGTAAATAGTCTGCCTCATGAAGGTCAGGGTTATGCAGGTCTTAAGGATTGTACCCTTTTCATAAAATGGCTGTTGCCTACATTCTGCATCTGTTTGGAGTGATCCTGTCTATGAAGGATAACGCTCTGGGTCCTTGACTTTAAACCTTGTCTAACGGACTCCACGTAATTGGTAGAAGGCAAAGGTTGGGGAAAGAGTAGATATATCAGCTTCATAAAGCTTGAACAAATGAAGTAAATTAAACTTTTAAAATAAAAGATAATTCATATGACTTGGAGTTGTCCACACACGGGGTGGGGGGGCGGGCTGTGGATGCTTTTGCTTATTGGATGAAGGGAAGGCTATTGTTGTAGATATTGTGGTTCCCGGTCTTTGAGTTTTTTTCAGAAGGCAAGATGTGGGTCTATCCCTTGCTCTCACATAAGTCTTCATTTAGGAGACTTGCTTGTTTCCCCTGGATGGAGCATCGAAAGCTTCTGGTTTATCAATAAATGCTAGATGGTTTTTTCTTTCCCAGACATGCTTTTCTTTCTTTTTTTATTATTTTTTTAAAGATTTTTATTTATTTATTTGACAGAGAGAGACAAAGCAAGAGAGGGAACACAAGTAGGGGGAGTGGGAGAGGGAGAAGCAGGCTCCTTGCTGAGCAGGGAGCCCGATGCGGGTCTTGATCCCAGGACCCCAGGATCATGACCTGAGCTGAAGGCAGATGCCCAATCTGCCACCCAGGTGCCCCCCAGACATGGTTTTCATGTGCACTGTTTAGCTCTCTTTGTCCATTTGCTACACACTGAATAGTGTGTATCTAGTTTATATCAAAATAGGAAGCTGCAAATAAATTTATTGTCCTCAAGAAAAAAAAAAGCATTGCATGTATGTATGCTTAATTTTTGTTATTCCTGACCCCTGCACTTGAGAGTCTTTTGTTCATGATGGTTTTATTGCTTTTATTTTGCTTTTCTTACATAAGCTCTGTATTACTAAACCATAGTTTTATCTAACTGATAAGTTATAAGAATGGATGAGAGATTTGACGTAAAAGAGGACAGAATTAGTATATGCAGTAGACAAGTATAAATCTCATCACTATTTTCCTATCAAAATGAAGTTGTTAGTTGTTAGTTTTCATCTCAGGATTGTGGGCTAAAATACAGTAATAGTAATGATAGTGGTGATGATGAGATACTCCACTTCTGTAAAACCTGGGCATATCAGTAATTTGGTGCAGGCCTGTAGTTTTCTGTCAAGGACATAGGAGTACTTTATAATAAAATAGTTAATGTCTTTTGTTCTTTTCTCTTACTGGAAGGGGGGTGACATTTTGTACTTTTTTAAAAAATAACTTTTCTAGTTTTGACTTTTTATAAAGTTACTCATCTGAATAATTATTTTAGGTGGCTTTGACTACGACTATCTGACTTTTTCCTTTCCCTAGTGAAGAACAGTCCAGACTAGCAGCAAGGAAATATGCCAGAGTTGTACAGAAGTTAGGTTTTCCAGCAAAGTTCTTGGACTTCAAGATTCAGAACATGGTGGGGAGCTGTGATGTGAAGTTCCCTATAAGGTTAGAAGGCCTTGTGCTGACCCACCAACAGTTTAGCAGGTGAGTCTGAAATGTATTGCCTGTGGTAACAGTTCATTTATAATCTGTGTAAACATTGTTCATGATAAAACATGTGCAAAACAGTATGTAAGCGCAAATGATGTAGTGACAGATGTATTTAATGTTGAAGTTTCTCCCTTATGTCTTGGAAAATATATTATTCTCACCATTCTCCTACTTCCCATTTCACTTATTGACATCTATAACTCACCTTGACTGGGATGAAATTGATTCCCTGTTATTTTACTGCTCAATAAATGCATTTTATTTTATTTATTTTTTTTTTTTTTAAAGATTTTTTTATTTATTTATCTGAGAGAGAGAATGGGAGACAGAGAGCATGAGAGGAGGAGGATCAGAGGGAGAAGCAGACTCCCCGCCGAACAGGGAGCCCGATGCGGGACTCGATCCCGGGACTCCAGGATCATGACCTGAGCCGAAGGCAGTTGCTTAACCAACTGAGCCACCCAGGCGCCCCTCAATAAATGCATTTTAAATGCATGAATTAAATCCACAACCTCACCTATCAATTTTTATCCCCAGTTTTTTGAATTATTTCTTCTAGTGAACATTATATGAGCTCTACCTGCAAAGTATAAACTTGAGTGAAATGAATATTCTTTCCTCTTCTTTTCCCTGCCACTTACAAGGCCACTGCCCACCTCTCCAGCCTTTCTGCTCCCTGCACCCCTCAGACTTGCCTTGCCCCTCTTGGGCCAAGGCTTTTGTATAGCCCAGTTTTGTTTTGTTTTGTTTTGTTTTTTAAGATTTTATTTATTTGACAGAGACACAGCGAGAGAGGGAACACAAGAAGCGGGGGCGGGAGAGGGAGAAGCAGGCTTCCCGCGGAGCAGGGAGCCCAACGTGGGGCTGGATCCCAGGACCCTGGGACCATGACCCGAGCCGAAGGTAGATGCCTAACGACTGAGCCATCCAGGCGCCCCTAGTATATCCCAGTTTTATACCTGGCACCCTCTTGTTCCACTTTTCACCTAGGAAACTTCCACTTGCATTTCAGATGTCCACCCAAGTGTACCTTCCTCAGAGAAGCCTGTCCTGCATTTCCCACTAGGTTAATCACACATATCGTAACTGGTTCAGTCTGTCTGAACTGGGGAAATGAGGCTGCTGGGGTTCGAATCAGACATGCCACTCATGACCCTTGATAAGGGTCAGACACTGCAGAGTATTAATCTAAAGGTCTCGTTTTTACAGCAGAAAATCCAGACTCATTAGAAATATAGAGTTTGTTAGTCTTTAAGTACTGATGACAGGTCGCCCTCACTGTCCTTAAGTTCTCTCTCCTTTGGGTTCACCTCCCAGTGAGTTTGTGGTTTAGTCAGTATTTTCCCTGTGCAGGTCCTCATTTTACCTAAAGCATGGGCAGATTTTAATTTCTAAACTGTTTTTGCCATTTTCCTCCTAGTTACGAGCCAGAGTTATTTCCTGGTTTAATCTACAGAATGATCAAACCCAGAATTGTTCTTCTTATTTTTGTTTCTGGAAAAGTTGTATTAACAGGTAAGTTGTAACAGGAAGTAGTGTCCGAAGGTTTGAAAGAGTTTCAAGAACAGCATTTTCTCAGTGCTGAGAAGTAATTTCAAAGACTGGGGTCAGGTAGCTAGCAAGTGAGATGCCTTTGCCCCTTTCTTCTCCTCCACCCTAACACTCTGATGAGAAACATATCCACCCCGGGGGGAGTGAGAGCAGGGAAATCAGACCACAGCAAGACCTGTAGTGGGGAGAGCAGGTAAGGTGGCCATTACATTGGTTAAGAGATGGCATTTTAAGGTGGAAACCCTTCTGTAACTCTTGAGATTCATCAACAGTGCCATTTGGAGACAATAGGGGAAGGTTCAGAAGAGCTTGCTTAAAGGCAGCAAGTGGGAGAATAATGGATGAGAATTGTGCTTATGGTTTTAAAGTAATTTTATTTTAAAGTAATTTTACCTCTTTAACATGTTAAGAAAAGCTATTTCAGACTCTCTTCTCCGACTTGTCTTTATTAGGTGCTAAAGTCAGAGCAGAAATTTATGAAGCATTTGAAAATATCTACCCTATTCTAAAGGGTTTCAGGAAGACGACATAATGGCTGTTATGTACTCCTGCCTCTGCACCCACTTGTTTTTAAAACAAATCAGTTTTGGTACATTTAAATGGTGGTGTTGTGGATGGCCCCGATTTGGTGAGAAGATGGATGTTCTGTGGGTTGTAGCAGCCGGTGAAGCTCTCCAGCGTGCGTTCCCCGTAGGGATGCCGGGAAGCGGTCTTACTTCTGCACGGAGAACTCACAGCGCTGTGTAAGTTGCTCGTACTGTGCTGCTGTTTGTGCAGCGCTGCCCGTTTATTTATATTTAGATTTTAAACACATACTGCTGTCAGCAAGTTGGTTTGAGGTACAAAACTTCAAGTGTTAAAGCCACCTCTGCAATTGATTGGACTTTTTCTTTTGTTTAATTTCTTCCCCATAAATCGCAGTTTTTATATTTCTACCAGAAAAGTAAAAATCTTTTTTAAAAGTGTTGTTTTTCTAATTCGTGACTCCTAGGAGTTATTTTTGTGCCAGACACATTCCGCCTTTTCAGTATTGCAGGACAAAGTAGCCGTATTAATGAGAACGAATGGCTGTACATATTTTTCTTCCTTCAGAGTACTCTGTACAATAAATGCTGTTTATAAAATTGTTAGATGGATGTTATAAATGATACCTGTAAGATTTGTGTGATCATACTGTTAAAGCTGTATTTTAGATATAATTGCCTGGAACCATTTCAATGTGTGCTTGCTTGCTCGTTGTTTGTTTGAATCAACATTGCATTGTATGTCGCAGTGATAATGGATGAACTACCTGAAAATTTAAGGTTGCTCATGAAACATGGATTTATTATGTTCCATATATCGAGCACCTCCTGTTTCCCAGATACATTGCCTGTAATTCTCACAAAACCTATAATTCGGTTTTGTTCCTCTTTCCCAGGTGAGCAAACTCCGGCCTCAGCTGCGGTATTTGCCCCAGGGTACATAGCTAGGGAACGCAAAACCAGGCTCTCGGCCAGAGTCCTTCAGTATTAAAGCTGGGTATGTGTACAGCCTGGTGAGGTGTTTGTTTTTCTCATGAATATTACCTGGAAATTTGTAAGTTCTTGGATTTTATTGTTTGGGTTAATTTGTCAAAGTATATTTTCAAGCAGTTCAGAAGCACATAATCAGAAAGGAAGAGTTCTTTCCTTCTCTCCCTTCTGCTTACTTCCCCAGGTATCTCCCAAGCCCCGTTCTGTGCAGCTTCTTTCCTTCTGGGCTGCTTTTGATCCCATATTTAGAAAATACTGAAGCATTTTATATGTTATAGCTTTGCTTTTATTTTCAGTCAGTATGTCGTGGAGTCTGATAGCATCACAGATGTACATCATCTTTTACGTACCTTTATGTATTCACCTGTTTCCTTAATTATCAGCAGTGTTTCAGCTGTAGGAAGCACCCTTATATGCCTCTTTATGGTTCAGTGCAGACATTTCTGTAGTGAACATGCCTAGGAGAGGAGCCACTGCCATCCATCAGTCCAATATTATCTCCTTCCATCCGAAAAAGAAGTATCTTTCCACATGTAGGTCTTCTCTTAGTCAGGTTTTATAATTTTTTTCACATAGGGCTTATACATTTCATAAAAGTTAATTCCTAAGTATTCTCTGGTTCCTGGTATTAATGTAATTTTTCATTACATTTCAAGTCTTGTTGACATTATTTATCTTATTCCCAATCACTTTATGGAATTCTGAGGCTTTCCCCTGTGAAACGGTACACACAGAAAACCTAACAAAACAAATATTTAACATAGTGTATTACTCAGTAGACATCCTGCAACCATCACTCAGAACCTTGCCCGTGTCCCAGGGGCCTCTCCTTCTAGTCCAGCCACAACACCCCCCGACCAATAACCATTATCTTGAATTTTGTAGTCATTTTATAGTCATTACCTAAATTACTAATATGGGTTAATCTTCCATTTTAAAAAAAATGGTTGCTTTTCTGTCTGTTTTACTCCTTATATTCCCCCTCCCTGTCTTTTCCTTAAAATGTTAGGCCAAATTTACAGCTGGTAGTTTCTTACAGTATGTGTTTTGCTATTTTCAAACTCATGGTGTAGTTCAGCATGTTCCTGTGTTCGATTTCCTGCAAATGAGCAGCTACATCCAGAGGCTTCTCATTGATCTGTGAATTCATTAGTAGGTTGCAAATGATGAAATTCTACTTATTTTCCAGTCGTTCATTGGAATACTTTTATAAAGTGATACGCTTCATATAGCAGGATAAATGCTGCTTTCCCTTTGAAAGTTTTCGAGATTAAATACCTCATGAGTTCATATTGATATATCCAATTCAAATTCAAGACTACGGGGGTTTCATTTAATCACTTATTTTTTTTACACCGAGAATCCTTAATTTTTAGACACACGGAATGATGTTAGAAAATCCCATGGTCATTTACTTAATCTTATGTTATACATGCAACAGTCTTAGATTGCATTAACACCAAGGTGATTATCAAAAGCACTTAAACATACTTATTTTGCTGTTATCTCTGAACTGTCAAGGGATGATGAGACCAGCGTTCGTGTCTAATAAAAGGAGGGGTGAGCAGTCGGGTCAGGCAGCGTCTGAGCCAAACAGAAGTTTTGGTGGAGTACGTGGATGGGCAATAGTGAATGACATCCTCTACAGGAAGTTACTGGGTGAGACATGATCATTTTAGGATGTTTTTAAATGCATCTTGACATTTCCAGAAGTAACTGAGTTGCTCAGTGTTTTTATATAAATTTTTGGTTTTAGGTTATTTTTATTTTGTATTATTTTTCATATGATGGATTATTTTTCAACATGGATGCTAGTTGACATTGTGACATTTTCTTTCTGTTGATTTGGACTAGTCTGTAAGTGGAAAGACCCTGTGAACCCTCACGCCAATTGCCAGAACTTGGTAGGGATACATACCTAAAGGACAGCTTGGCTGGTTATTCCCAACATACCTGCAAGAATGTCCACAATCATCTGGTGATGTCTCCAAACAGACCCTAATGGGTTTGCTTAAAGTCCTTAGCAGTCAGGGCACTATTCTGCTTTGGAAAACTTACTATAACATCTCCTGACTTTAAGAATCATTTACAATTGGCAATGTGAAGACCCCACACTAGTCCAGTTTTCTAGAAGCCACTGAGCTTCCTACCAAGTGTTGATACTTGCCACCAGATGATGACAACTTATAATGTGTCCTCCAGTAGCAATGGGCTGTATCACCATAGTTGTAGGTCATTCTCAGACTTCACTCTCGCAGCTTGAAAACTGTGACACCATCCTCCCTCTTTACAGGTTGTATTTAAAAGTAGCCTAGTAACAAATCTCCCCGTCAGGATTCCATACTGGTTTCCCATATAGAGCTATGTTTCACGGTATTTCATACACATATCTTTATGAATAACACATATATACCTATAATGTGGGCTAATAGACCAGGACTTTCTCATATAAAAATGTAGTAAAATAACCAGGTAGTCAGTGACATTAATAATGGTGTTATATGCAAGAAAGATGCACTTATGGGAGAACATGAGCCAACTTAGATTAGCTGTTGGTTTTTAAGCACTGATCAACAGCAGTGTCCCTTCAGGCCTCCTTCAGTGCTGGGCAGGCATCACTGGTGTTGAAAGAACTGGGAATTGTCACAGCGTAATCGTGAAACACTAGGGGCTGGAAGGAGCCTTAGCACGGTTAACAGATTTAGCTGACCTCAGGGCCAGATTTCCCTAGGGAAATTGTAATGGCCAATTCCTGCCTCCTTACTTGGGTTTACTCCCCATGTGTACACTGGCATGAGATGGGGGGTGGGGGAGAGAGAAAGACCATCATTCTTGCCTTGCATCTCTCATCTGTGAGCAGTGCTATTGGCAGATCAAGGTCAGTTGTGAAGTAGAGCTTCTCTTCGAAGTCAGTTATTCATCACATTCACCAGCCTACTGGGGTTTTGTATTTTTCCAGTGTTCTGGACTTCCATGTGTCTTAGAGCCCATGACAATGACCTGATTACCAGTCACGTCTCTTTGGGTTTTACCCAAATAGTTTTCTCTTGGTTTTAACACTGCAAATTTTAGGAGGAAAAATGCTCTGAGTAATGGATTGTCTTAATGAGGAAATTAACCCATTTTTATTGTAGAAAGAAACAAACACATAGGTAAAATGATCATTTCATAGTCCCACCATCCATAGTTAGCTAGTTCCCACCGAGTAGGTATCTTTCCAGATTTCTGTTGACATACATATGTATAAATACTTTTACAAAAATATGAACATACTATGAATATCTTGGTGTCAGTTTAAACCTGTATCTTGTACATATAGGTGTATATCATTAAGAGTGCATTACCTTCTGCTGTAGGAATTCACCAAAATTTCTTTAAATACCTGTCACCAGACAATTTTTGTTGCACTAATATTTACACATTGTAAACTCACCTAAAACATCTTTGTACCTTTGTCTCTGCTATAATTATTTCCTTAGGATAAAGTCCTAGAAATGGACTTGCAAGGTCTAAGAGATTATGAGCCTTTTTAAGGCTTTACAACATTGTCTTTAGGGTGTATTTGTTATATCTTGCTTCCAAACAAATTCCTCTGTGTAGCCAATCCCCAGTCTACAGCTTTCAGCACAGGTGAAGACAGCCAGGACACCCCAGTCGACACTCCTGCCCAGTCTGTCGGCCTTTAGGTGGTTGAGCAGCTGAGGCATGACCTGAGAAGAGGATGACAGAATTAGAGCCCTGCGCTGAGGCAGGGAGCACTGTCCGCTTTCAATAGACCTTCCTTGCCAGGGCGATTGCAGGGACCCCGGTCTTTTAATCTCCAGCTTTGACACTAAGAACCAATTACTGTTGGATATAGTCTTCACAATTCCTTTTTTTTACCCTCAGCAACAAGTATTACCTACCACTCTGTAAGGTTAGCAAATCCACAGTTCAAGAACATCTCTACCCAACCCAAATGGATTGTGATCCTAACAATTCCTTTTGAAAAACCATTTGTCTTAATGATTATATCCATCTGTTTTCCTAACAAATCCACAAACTAAGACCAAACCTTACTAAGGCCTCTAAAACGCTCCTGTCACAAAGTACAAAGACCTTAACTGCCATAACAAGAAAAGAAAGAGTATTTAAAATTACAAGGTAATAAAATGCAGACACTAAAAATAACGATGTAACCACCCTGGGGGGTGGGAAGATGGTCCAGATGGTATAAGAAACTACATTTAAATCCTCATTATTGCACGTGCCAGTCAACGGATAATGTCTAAAAACTAGTAAACTGACAAGTTACCAGAAAAAGCATGTTATTTAGAGAACTACCAGATAAAACTGTAGACAATTCCCTCCAGGGAATAAGCTCTTAGGTGGGACAAGGCACTTTCTGTAGTAACAACAGGACCCATGTGCATATATTACTTCGGTAAAGTTTTGGAGCATTTAATAACATAACTTAGGGTGATTACACATATTAAAATACTCATTTAAGGTCATACCTGGAATTCAAATGTTCTCTTGGCACCACAGGGGCAATATGGAATATCCTTTTCTTGAGGGGTATTTTCACCAGAGATCCAGATGGGTGCAAT